TTGGAGCCTGACAAAATGTATACACACTTCAGGGAAAAAATAGCATGATATATTTTCAACAGATGGTGTTACCCTCATATGCTACAGGATGTTATATATTGCAGAAAGCACACTGCGGGCCCTGAAAGAAGAAATTAAAAATGCTTGTGCAGCAATTTCAGTGGCCAAGGTTACCCAAGCAGTAATTCATCATACTAATAAGCATTTAGAAGCCAATGGTCACCACTCTGAGCACATCTTGTAATTGTAGAGCTCAAAGGTAATTTGGATTAATTTCACGATGTCTCAATAAATTTAGTATTAACATGTTTATACAAGTTTTCTTTTCCTGAATTGTGTATGTATTGTGGTTCTCTCTGTCCCTCTCCCCCACCTCTCCCTCTCCTTCTCTCTCCCTCTCCCTCCCTCTCTCTCTCTGTCTCTTTCATTCATAAAACTTTACTAGTAGCAACAATCACACTTATCATCCAGATGTAGATTTATATGTAGATTTATATGTTCATTCCTCAATAGAAGAAACAAGAGCTTTTTGGAGACATGGAGAAATAGTTGAATTTAGGACTGAAGTAGTTCAAAGAAAAGGTGAATCTGGAACATCATTGTTATGGTTGGGACTGAAACTGTCCTGCAAAAGGCTCGTTGGGTTGGCTGCCAGCTGGGGGGCTTCTGGGAAGTGATATCAATATGCCAGCTCTAGCTTCATCAAAGGGTCAATGACTTCACAGCTCAATGGGCATATTGAGAGCTGGGGCCTAATGAGGCAGGTCACTGGGGGGTTACGGTTTGAAAGGTTTATTTTGCTCCTGGCTTCTGTGCTCTCACTCTTTCTGTGGCTGAAATCAAGTGAGCAGTTTTCCTCTTTCATGCCCTGATGTTTTTTTGCCTTGCCACAGGCCCCAAAATAATGGAGTCAGCAGTCATGGATGGAAACCTCTGAAACTGTGAGCCAGAATAAATCATCCCCCTGCAAAGAGTTATTCTCAGGTATTTTTTGTCACAGAGTTGAAAAGCTGACTAACACAATCATGTAGCCCTAGAAATTAAAGACAGAGAATGTTAAAAGACACCATGGTGTTGCCTTCAGCAAAAGTCAGAAAATGAGAACCAGAGAGAACACCAGACTTATCTTTTTCAACAACAAAAATCAATCAGTGGGGAAAAGAGATCATGTATACATGACAGTGGCATAGACATTTACAAATAAGAGTCAAGAGGCATAACAAAAAAATTCCTAGATATAGACCATAGTTAGATATTCATTCCCACAAATAGCTTTTTTAAAAATAAAATCTACCAGTGTAAAAATGTGTAACAGGGTTGGACATTTGAGGATCATTTATTTACTTTTAAAAATGATAATATGTTTGGCATATATTTTATTTTTAAAAATCCTTATCTTTTAGAAATACATATTGAAATATTCTTAAATGAATATTTTCAGTGTTATTGCAGTACCTGAGGTGTAGGTAGCAGGGGCCTAACTGGTACTAGATTTGCCCTGTATTTAATGTTGTTGATTTTGAGTGGTGGGTACACTGTGTTCATTATACTAATCTCATTATATGTTTGAGACTTTCTCTAATAAAATGTTTCTCTTACAAATAAGATGACATTACAGGTGAACTGTACAGGTCCTATGTGACAATGACCAGTTTTTAGCAATAAAATTAATAAATGATCCAACTGCGTGAAAAGACAAAGAAAACATTGATTACACTGCAGGAAGTCAAACTGTATTCAGAGCTTAAGCCATCCTCTGAGGTTCCGGGACAAGGACAAGACTTTTTTGGAGACCAGTTTTACCAGTGGTCAGAGGAAACCAGACATCATGTGATGTCAACCCTTCCACAGTCTGCACAACTGGTGTGTTCAACACACTGCCCTAGTCTAGCCCTCCTGGAATCTTAAACCAGATTAGCACTCTAAAAGATAAGAGGCCAACTCTCTCATATAGCAGCAAATATCCCACATAAATAGGACCATTTCTCATAAAGTCTTTTCCTATACCAATGTCTGCCAGAGTTCTGCCTAACTTACTTTCCAGCAAGTTTAATGTTTCTGTTTTAATATTTAGATCTTTAATCCATTTGGATTTTAATTTAGTGCATGGCGAAAGATAAGGGTCTAATTTTAATCTGTGACAGGTTGATATCCATTGGGTACCTTTCCAAGAGAACTGAAAGAATCATATCACAGAGAAGTATGTGCACCCATGTTTATAGCGGCACAGTTTGTAATAGCTAAATCTTGGAAACAACCTATTTGCCCATCCGTTGGAAACTGGATAAAGAAGTTGTGGTTTTTCTATAAAATGGAATATTACTCAGCCATAAAGAGCGAGAGAATAGATTCATTCATAGGAAAATGGATACATATTGAAGAT